CCCCCACAATTGCTGCTCTGTGGCTGGGGGCAGCAAGTGCTCTGTGCTCCCTGCTCTGGGCTGGCGAGCGGTGGCAGAGATTTGGGGGGAGGCAGAGGCAGGTTAAAGGTGTACTGGGGCCTTGGGTAAACTCAAAATTGGAGGCCTCCTTCCCCCCATGGGAGCTGGGCTGCAGCGGGGAGGGGAGAAGGGCCCCTTCCCCTCCTAGAGATGTCAGGGGAGGCTGGGTGGACCCCACCAGGCAGGGGCAGGCACATGCCCACCTCTTCTTCCTGCTCCCTGCCCCCACTATGGCCAAACATGCACACACACAGGTGCGTGCATTCTGCTCTCACTCTGCACATGGACGCAGACACAAACACACTCTCCCTGCCATGAACAGACACATGCACACACACGCACGCCTCACGGAGGCAGCCTCCTGCCACCACGAGCCACCTGCGGTTCAGTCTCGCTTCCCGCCCAGGCCCTATTGTACTTACCTGCAGGGAGCTGCTGCCCAGGTGTCCCGTGAGGCCACAGAGCAGGGGATCAGGCTGGGCTAGGCCAGGGCAGAAGTGCCACGCCGTGTCTCTGAGGGCAGGTGGCGGCACTGGGAGGAGTGACTGCAGGGAGACTAAGATGAATTTGGGGGGACTACAGCCCCCAAGGCCCTCCCAGTGCCGCTGCCCGCAAAGACATGGTGCAGTGCTCCTGGCTCAGCTTGACCCAGCCAGGGCCCCGACCGCCCCCCCCACCCAGGTGGGGCGCAGCTCTCCTGGCTCGGCTTGGCCTCCTCTCCCCCAGGCATGGTGGTACCTGACCCACCCCCCTCACCTCCCCTCCCCCAGGCGGGGGGCAGCTCTCCTGCACTGGCCCCAGCCCTGCCCCGCCCCAACCCCATTGGTAGAGGGGCCCCAATTCCAGCTTTCAGGGAAGCAAATGCAAAAGCCACAGGTTTAAACTTGGAACCATTTATGTCTCCCTGCTGGGAGACAAAAACAAGCGCCAAGTTTAAAACTGCAGCTTTCACTTCCCTGGTGATGAGGATTCCAGGGCCCTGAACTGGTAGAGGCCCCTGGGCTCATGCCCAGCTGGCCTGTTCATTAATTCGCATATGGAGGGGGTGGGGGGAGGAGAAAGGGCAAATGATCAGTGGGCAGGATGGGCAGCAGAGGAGGCCAAGTAGGGAAGGGTAAGTGCCCAGGGACACAGGCACCAGGGGTGGGGAAGGGGGACAAGTGCCAGGGGGTGCAGGTAGTGCTGGGAGGGGCAGGCAGCTCTGGGACAGCTCTGCACAAAGGTGCATTTCTCAGATGTAATTTGCCCTATGTATTTGTAGCAGGTTTTCTGCTGGTTCGTATCAATAGCAGTTAGAACAGCTATGAGGACAAGCCACAGATCCAGGGCTCAGAATAAAACAACTTTGGGGGACAGGCCTGAAGGTGATGGTTGTGCTATGTTGTAGCACTAAGCTAAAGCATGTCACCACCTTTCAGTCAGATCATTGAGTTCAAAGAATTTAGGGACTGAATAAAAGGGGAAGATGAGCTTGTTAACTTGCCAGTTGAGGTACCAAGTACAAATTGGTCCAGATGCCAGGGGTAAGAAAGTGAGCTAGTGCTGTGTGCAAGACAGAGTATCAGCTGTATTTGGGTCATAAGAGGCAGCAGCTGGAAGTGGACCGTTTACTGGGGAATTGACACCAGGTTAAGGCCAAGCACAAGCACAAATTCCCAGTAGGTGCCCATGCTTGTGGTGGCTCATATGCAGATGAGAGTCACGTAAGGCCTTCCCTTCTTTCATTACTTACCAAATCTGCACTTGTGTTTCTACTTCTGAGGGAGCCCTTGGAACTTGATGACGCTGTGACTGATGATAAACGGCATGGTATAGCATAGCACAGGAAATCACGGGGTCCAGTTGTGTCGTTGTGATGCAGCCAAAGCTTTCAGCAGCGCAAGGAGTCAGATTCACAGAAAGGAGAGAAAATAAAATACAAGCACATTCTCTGATACTTGTTCAGTACTTCGAGTCAGAGGAACAGAGTTTGAGGGGGAATCTCGCTGGCTCTTTTCCCTTAGCTACCAATCAGTCATCAAGTTTCTTCTTTCTTTTCCAGAGGCCCCCTTAAAATAATGTTCTGAGACTGAAATAATACATGAGCAGCAAAAACATATTTCAAATGGAAATCTTAAAAAGTAACTGCATTTGTACCTTAAAGACTATTTATTAAGTACAAAAAAATTCTTGATATGACACAGAAGTTATGATACAAACTAGCTGAAGTTTGGAAAAGATATTTAGAAACAGTTCATAAAAAACAAAAAATTCCTTATCTGTTAATACTATATGTTTTTATTATTAAAAGCAAAAGTATTTTTTTCTTTTATATATCATTAACACTTTTGAATCTAGGCACTTGCGTCATATTTTACTACTATAAATAGGTGCACCATATCCCATTAACGCCTCTAATGGATTTTGTTGAATGGTGACTTTTAATGAAAATTGACATTTGATTTTGGAATTGGAAATGCTTTATCAAAGATGTTCAAATAATCAAATCAAAAAAAATTCAGCTGGCTCTTACAGGGTTCCTGCATACCCCGGAGAACATTCATTCTTACAGTAATCCCACTGAGTTTGACAGATTTGAATTAATTTC